TGTGTACAAACTAAGAGCCAGGCAGACAAAATGCCTCTTTATAGGCAAGGCAAGTTTATTTATATAGCACTTTTCAACACAAGGCAATTCAAAGTGCTTTACAAAAAATGAAAGACATTAAGAAAATGGCATTTAAAATCAGTCATTAAAAAGAAAAGTTAATAAAATAAACATTAAAAGAAAAAATACATACGTTACAGTGCAGTCTAAGATATGAATAGTTCGATTAAAAGCAGCGACAAAAAGAAAAGTCTTCAGCCTGGATTTAAAAGTAGTAAGAGTTGCAGCGAACCTGCAGGTTTCTGGGAGTTTGTTCCAGATACTTGGAGCATAATAACTAAACGCTGCTTTACCATGTTTAGTTCTGACTCTGGGGACAGAAAGCTGACCCGTCCCTGAAGATATGGGACACAAAAGCTGAGTGACACGTGTAAGAGACACAGGGGAGGGGATGATGACTCATGGAGGAGAGGAAGGTAAAGGGCCAGTCATGCGCCAATCTGTTTCTTGTATTCATCCTTAGAAAGGAAGTGGCAAGCGGCTGTACAATCCTCTGAAAAACTGATCATAAAATCTGAAAGCAAACAAAAGCCCAGTATCCAGGGTCACTGTGACATGGCTGACCTTCACGGTGCATCAACAGGTTATGATGGTTGCCAAGCATGTGGGAAGGTAACTTCAAGCAGGCGCTTTCTGTTGCACAGCTGCTTATAAAAAGGTGTGCGAGTCCCGAAAACAACAGAAAAATTACATTTATAGTGGGACAACAAAATAAACACGTGTGTGGCTAAATTGCATACAGGCAGATTAATCGGTGGTGTCATCTGAAACACTGGAGCTGTGTGAAACTGATTTTCCAGGCTTTTAAGGACTTATTTAGAGTTGCATGTGTGGAAGAGAGGCACATGTATGGAGTACACACAATGGAATGAAACATAGCTTCAAAGGAAGTCGTACATTGTAAAAACAGCATTAGCAAGAAAATGATAGGGCAGTCTGACAACATATGTATTAATTGGGCTTGCGATAAATGAGTTGTTTTGTTGAGAAGTGGAACACTCTCTTATAACTGATACGTCACAGTAATAAGCAGTACGTTTGCAGCTTGCTTCGGCGCAATAATAACACAGGAACCAAGAAATACTTATCTCACACCTACTCTTCAGAGTAGCTGTAGTGGAGCAACAAGTCATAAAGATTAGTTTTGAAAGTCACTTAAGTCCAACATAGTCAAGTAGTCATTAGAGGTCTCCCTTTAGGGCTGCATGAAAATGACAGGCTTGGGGTTGTTTGATTTTATTCTGTCTCAGGCACCTACAGTATGAGAGTTTAATTATACTACAGTAGGAAAGGTGAGCTCAAATGCCATGCGAAAATTATTGTTATATCCACATTTGATGAAGAAGAATATTATTTTCAAGCAGCATATCTTGTCAACAAAGTGTGTAAGCTGCTCTCTGCATGGAGTTGCTCAAGTGGAGAGGATGTCACGTGTTGGCCCTCGCTCAGGCACACTCATTCAGAGCCTAGCCAATCTACTGTTCTGATAAGACGGTGTAGGATCACAACTTTTACTCCCATAAACAACATGACTAAGGTTGGCTGGTATAAAGTAGTAAAATAATATTAGAGTTGTAGTGGGCCAGCGGATGTGTAAAGTGGGGCGTGGGCCTAATGTGAGAAAACGTTTCTTTAAACAAACATATCATCTGAGACCGCAAGCTAGATTTTAGTCACTATCATATCCTCCTTGCAAAAGATGTATAAATACCTCAATTGCGAAGATGATGCAGTAAGATGAGTCTTTTCTCTATGTATCGCTCTCTTTCTCTCCTACACACACTCACAAATGGCACCATGTATAGATAGCCTTTGTCATTCGTCATGACCACAGAAGCAGACTGTCAACAAGGCTAAGAAGAACCTGAGACATGATAGAGGATTATAAGGCTACTTTAATCTTTTTCTTATCTGAATTGATTTACTAGCATTTTAGCTAATTTCCCTGCATGGAGACCTTCTAGAAGTCTGGCTCAGTTTCAGCCAGTTATTTGGCCCCTGTTTGTGCCAGGCAGTGATGCTAAGGATCCCATTATCAGTTTTCTTTAACAATTTATATTGCAGCCTGTCTTTTCTTGCAGTTGTGGCTACTTTACAAACATTGCATTTTTAAATCACATCTAGTACAATGCATTGCATGTGAACAAAGGCATTGATGTTTGTGTGGTTGTTTTGTACATTTTCTGGATGCACAACAATGCCATGCTTTGCTTGACACGTTTGACTTGCACTACCTGGTTTGCCACCTTTTCATTGTTAATGTTAATGAATGACTCAAACAATAAGCAACACATTCTGAAGTATGTGCATGTGCAAACAAAGGACGAGTTCAGCCTTGTGACAAAGATAAGGAGGTGTGTTGTGTTATCATGCAAGCTGTGGGAACATTGACATATCATCAAGCCTTAACAACAGTACAGTATAAGCTCTATGTTTCAGCAGTGATATAAATGAAAGGGAATTTCTTACGCTTGCCTATCTGATTCTGAAATACTTTGGGGAGGTTGATGACGAGAACAAATTAAGTAGTTTCGAGACAGTCTAACAACATTAAACCTACAACATATAGACAGCAAATTGTCATATTGAATAACACAGAGATCTATTTTAAGAGGATGGATATGTTATTTTCATGCTCCTACGGTTTGCTTTATCTGAGAACTCTGGTCTAATGAATTAAAAATGTTATAAAGAAATGTGAGCAATGTTAATTATAGTGTTTCCAAAGCTGGTATTACTTAAAAAGTTGTGCTTTTAGCCATAAAGCTAACGTTAGCTTAATGATATCATGTGAATACAACACGCAGCACACAGACAGAGTGAAAAGGCTCACTGAATGACACTTATTCAAGTTCGTACTTCAATATTAGTTGCACTAGAAGCAGAAAAACAAGCCTAAAGTTGGATGAAACGAATAGTTATGCGGGTAACTCCGAGATAATGTCTTCTAACTTAAGCTAGCTTATCCAGTTAGCCCCTCTTACCTTTTGTGGGATCCCAGCGCAGCAAAGCAACGACAAAAAGCACCACAACAGGGCCCGACTGCTCACTGTCCAGTCCATGTTTTCTGGTCTCAGACCGGGATAGACAGCTGGTCCGGAGGGCCGTTGACTACATAGAACATGTGTTTTGTCTTACAACCAGATGCTATTATTTTTAAATCAACGTTAAAGGCACTGAGCCAGCAGCAGCGGCGAATACAACGTTGGATCCGCTTCTTCCTGAAATGAAAAGCGTGGGGGTTGGACTTTGGGATAGATATCTACACGAGTGGAGGAGGGGAAATGTTAGAGTTGGTGTAAGCCAATGAGAAAGGAGCTACAGACACCGGATGTGTTATAAAGTAGATCCGGGGGACATTTTCTGCAGAAGTCCACGAGCCCAGCCCTTGAGAGCATGCTTTCTGTGGTCAAACCAGCCAGTCTTGAACGTTTTGCATTTAACATGGCTAGAAAACGCTTATTTGCATGCACATTTTCGAGACAGTATTACGATACCTGACGTAAATGTGAATACAAATAGTTTTCTTTTTCTAATGCATCATGGTGCATGTTGGAACTGCGTGACTAGGCCGCGTCTGCCTGGACCATGGCCTGAACATGTCGAAGTAAGTTTAATTTTTGTATAACGTGAATGGAAAATCCTAATAGTTGATTTCTTCTTACACACAGTATGTTTTGCTGTCCACAGGGCCGGCCGTAAGGGTTCATAGCAGGTTTTGGAAGGGCTTGCATATCCCCACGTGGACCGAATGGAGACCGGCTAAGGCCTAACGAGACGGTGAGTTTTTGTTTACACATTTGAAATCTCTTGTTTTTGATCGTGAATGATGATTTAAGTGCGTTAGACTTCTGATATGAAAATGAAGTCATCATATACTTTTCTGACTCAACCCCACAAATATATATCCTGGTGTGTGGTCTCATTCAGGTTCACTCAGACATTTTATATTTACAGGAAATGGATGTTGGTGTGGCTGGATCCCTGCATGAGCAACATGGTGAGTATCTTATGTGATCACAATGTGGCCTTTAATAGTTATGTATGATGATCATGATGCGTTAGACTTCTGATTTAATATGAAGACAATCTATATCTGACATGACCAACATACAATATTGAAATGGATGGTGTTGAAATAACTGAGCTTACTCAAAGTGGTTTTCTTTTGCAGCAATCTGATTGACAATCAACAAATGGACAAGGTGACACCAGGACTCGTAAATCAACATGTTCGTGGGTTTCTAATGTGTGCATTCCTGAGCCATTAGAAAATGCATACTGCTTGACTGTGGAAATATATGTCTTGTGAATAAAGCAATTGTAAAAAATAAAAAAACAGTAATTTTCTTTCTTTAAGTTCACCATGTGCTCTTTCCTTAACACCTGAATGGCTTTTTCCTTAGCCATTCACTAAGTATAAGAGAAGTGCGAGAGTAAATAAAGTCTTGTTATAACTGGGGTTACTTGGCAATTTTCCCAAGTCTCTCCTTTTAAGCAAGACACAGAATCTAAATTATAAAGCTATATTTGTTGTGTCCAATTAATATAAAATGTCCAATGAGACACTTTGAAGGAGTTTACAATAGAATGTGGTGCTGTTGAGTGTCCTTGTTGCTTATTTTTATGGTAATCTAACTACTACTATACATGTTTTGTGTTCTCATTGGAAAGTCTTTTGGCCATTGAAACCATCTACAGAGCTGGAGAGAAGTCAATTTCAAGAAATTAATTGGTTATTATTTTTTCTGGCAGACATCCCAGTCTATGGTAACAGCTTAGTAAATGTGAACATTAGTTGGTTCTGTTAATCATAAATGGAATTGTGATTTACATTTTTTTTTTATGGATTAAATGATTGATAAGTTGACATGCATATCACAGCTGAATCAATTATGAGAATAAGTTGCTCTGTTAGGACCACAAAGCTGCTCAAACTCTTTCCAAGCAATAGGTTTTATTGATCCACAACGATCAGAACCGTAACATTCTTTGACATCACTGAACACAACAGTAATGTTTGATATTTTTGTCATCACTGTGCAAAAGAACAACACCAAAACTTGTGAAACCATAGGGCATGTCTTGACAGACACAGTAATGGCACAAAGACACTTTCTATATCCTCGACTGATGCAACAAATGTGATGGCTGACTACGGAGGAATGTTTATTTTAAAGGCACTTTCTGCCTCTTACACTTTGCCAACACATATATTTAAACAAAACATGTACAAAATAATAGTCGCCTGTAAAGCAGCTTAGCGTCTTGGCAGAATACAACGCTGCTGTTCAGTAAAATGGTATGTCTTGGAAAACAGTACGAAAAACAGCAGATCAATAAATAATTTAAGAGCATTCATTAGCTGGATGTCTTCTGACAACATTAAATAATATGGCTAATATCCAGTATGTCACTTATTCAAATAAAGCGGTAAGAGTGAGTTTGTCTCCCTCTTTTATGACCTAAAAACTCAGGGTTTTTCTCGTCTCCTGTCCAAACGTGTGCAGTACATCACTGCAGTGGCCTCAATAGGGACACAAGCGAATACACCGATTGCTTATTTTCTCAACGCTTACCTCAGGAGTGAAAAATTGCTTTGGCAATAAAACCAAAATTATTACTTTAGCTCAACTCTGGATATAACATGAAAAGAAGTCTTGAAGCATGTTGCGTAGAAGCACGTTGTCAGTGAATGAGCTATTCCTTGAACAGCTGAGGAGCTGCATTCAAGTTTTTACATTCATCAGACCTAGGCAATGTTTAGCTGCTGTGTTTGCAGATACTTTTAAATGTTCCCCTCTAAAGTCAGTTTTAACTCTAATCCCTACCACATGGTTAAAAGCACACAAGCTGTATGTTGTGATTGTGTCCATTGTGGATTTAAACTGACCTAGTGTCTTCGATGGACAAAGTGCCGTTGATCTGTTTGCATAAAGGTGCCAGGCGACCGGCACAGGCAGCAGTGTGGATGGTTGATCAATGAGTTGTCCCTGTGAAATATGTATCAATTGAGACAGGGACTTCCAGAAAAATCTTATCCAAATCTTAGGATGTTTCCCTCAAACTCATACTGTCTTCATCAGGTGCTTCAAAGCTTTGGAACTGTTTAGCAACAAAATGCTCGATTAGAAAGGTCGCACTAAAATGTATTGTACTATCATGTTTAGTGCAGATGTACATCACAGGTCTTATGGTTCTTCTGATGGCTATTATGTTGATCCACCAACACACACGTTTGTTAAAGCAGTCTGGACATGCCCCATGTATTAAATTCCATCAGAAAATGAAACATATTAAGAATAAAACTGATTGGAGGACAATCTATGAGTCACAACTCTCTTCCGTTTCCCTGCTTGGAGTCACCCCAGATGATTACGACACAGCCCCCATTTACAGTTTTTGACGCACTTCATGTGTGGTGCAACAATGGGACTGGAACATGGTTAAAAATATTGGAGTTGGCCCGGCCCGTTGCTGCACTTGTGGGTCTCTGAGAGGGGCGGGGACTCATCATATTGCCATGGTGATAACATGTCAGTCATCACACACTTTGAACAGCGGTCTTCACTCTTCGGAGACCTCAGACTCCTCAGGTTCTTGGTCCTTCAAGGCCTCATTTGTCACAGTAACCATGTTGGCATTCGAACGTGTGTCCATGGCAGAGTGCATTATGGGTAGCCATAAATCGTCCATATTTGGCATCACAAATATTTTCTGTGGGAGAGCAAGCACAGTAAGGAGTCATTAAAAACTTAAAAATCAAACAAAAAAAAGCATTATAATTACTTAATTTTATCAAACTGAAATATGTATTTTCAATGAAAGAGTGTAGAGAATGGATGGAGCAGAAACTACAAATGAATACACTTGTGATAAACTAAATAAAGACACAGGCATGATATTAATTCTGTTGACATGAATTAGAAAGAAAAAAATACCTTAACAGCCACCCCCGTGTATCTAACCCTGCAATGTTATGTATTGGATGGAACCAATAAGGACTGAGTTTGGCCATTGTTGAAAGCCAGATGTAAACACTCACTCACACATGACAACAGTGAGCAGTTCTGCACTGTATTTTACTGCCATGGAGGCGGGGGAGTACATAATAATAACCCCCAGAGGAGTCAGGCAGGGATAAATGTAGATGTGTGGTAGACCTGACTGGGACAGTAGTTGCAGGTGTGCCTCAGGGCAGTTATCTAGAGGCAGCCGTATCATTACTTTGTATATACGAGGGGAGGGAAAGCCACAGGCAGACTGCTTTGAAGTGCATGTAGGTGGGCAGCCGTAGATTAATCCCAATGTCCTCTTTTATTACCCAAACACTGACCCTTAAACATCTGGGGGGACATTGTCTTTGCTCTTCAGTAAACCTTAAGCCTCTCAGTCAGGCAACTGAGGTTTTTAAACCACACAGGAGTTGGTAAACATCACGTGATATGACCTAACCTTCTAACATTTTAAACAAATTGTATTCATAATTAAGCATGTGCATCTTTTCAGTGTATACCTGGAATTCCTGGTCTAGTTTCTTCTCAATCCAGTCTGTCACATGAACTAAAGTGACCTCCCTCTCACCCAGTTTAGGCCGTGCTTTAAGCTCTAGGTGAGGCGGACTCCGGAAACCATACCTGACGAGAAGAACATTATTATTATTTTATTTTTTTAATAGTTTAAAACAAAACAAGCTGAATTGCAATCCAAGTTCTTACATGCTACATAAAAGCAGGCACTTTGTCCAGGAAATGTGTGACATAAATTTGGCTGAAAATTATGCACATTTTAATGAAGCTTTTAAAGAACAAAGAAAGTCCTTAAGGATTTAACATTCCCCACACTGCTTTGTGCCCTCATTTTAATTCTAAACATTAAGTGAATTTAATTTACTGGTGATTAAACATTCTGTTCTTTCATCGTATGAATGTCCTTGTTTGCCCAGCAGAGGGTGCAGAGTTATAATCTGAAACCAATATTCCCTTGGAATCATCCTACTGACTGAATGCACTCGTCCCTGGAAGTGAACATACCATATCCTGTCCGTAGGGGGTGGTGGGATGTTGACAGCCAGAGTCCCACGAAACTCCTGCACCTCCACAGTTAGCAACAGGGGCGTGTTTGACACCTCCTCCATCTTCTTCTTAATGAACTCCGTCTCTGTGGCTTTCTGGAAGTACTTCGACTTGGCTATCTTGTCCATAAAGCGCATAATCTTGCTGGGCCTGTGGCCTCCCACGTAGCTACGTGAGCAGAGGATGGAAGGAGGAGGGGAGGCAAGGAGTGAGTCAGGTTCTTTATTTATTCATAACAGCATCTCTCTCTACTCAGCACCCACGATGGAGGAAGTGACCGGGTGCTACATTAAATCAGCAGCAGGCTTTCAAACGTGTGGCACTGAGTAGGTGGGTGGGCGGACTGGAAGGGCAGAACAGACTGTTTCAACACATCAGTGTGAATCTGTTGCAGCCCATTCTCAATTCAGATAATGACGTTATTGTTGCTAAGAGACATTCGCTCACCCCTCTGCTCCAGGAAGAATGGCTCTGTCACTGAGGAGTTCGGGGGGGTCCTCTTCATCCGAAGACCCGGCACTAGACGACTCCTCATCGCTGTCTGCCAGACAGTACGTCCGTGGCCTGGGCCTGTCACACACACATAAACACTCACTGTTGCACAGTCAGACTATAATTCCCAATTAGTTCATCCCTACTGATTTGAATAAATGTTTTTATTTATAAATTATTCTTTCTAGAGACAGGTGTACCCAAACTCACCAGAAATTGGGCAAATCCACAGTGGTAAGCATCCAAAGAGAGGATCCATATATGAAGAGAAGGGAGGAAAAGCCAATAGAAAATGGTAAGAAAAAACAAAGGTGACAACTAATATGGTTCCAAATGTAAATCCGCTCAATTAACTTCCAGCTTGGAGGGTTCGCGTTGTGAAGCAATAAAGGTAATCCTATTATGTGGGTCACAGATAATGTATGATGAGAAAATGACACAAACAAACAATCAATAGAGTGCCACAGTGACGCGTCCTAAAACCCTTTTATAATTTTCGAATCATAGATTTATGATTAAAAAATTATAAAAGTAGGGTAGACATGTGGATATTATCCGGCTGAACAAAACGTGATCCGTCTCTTCAATTTGTGTCAACCACAGACCTTATTTCGAGCTATTTTCCAAAATCCTATGGAGATATTGCATTGGTTTTTGTCGAAGGAACCGGAAGTGGTAAAATGCTAACTTACTTCCGGGTTTTAGGACGCGTCACTGTGGCACTCTATTTGAAACATATATAAGACATTCTAAATGCAGACTTAGCTTCATTATCTTCATCCCTGAATGTTATTGAAAGCCTCACCACTCTTTTCCTTGCTCCCCGAGCCCCTCGCCCTCCTTCCCCAGACGGGCCAGGTTCATCTTGGTTTCTAGTGTCATGAGGAAGGACCCCGTGTACGAGACCTCAAGATCGAACCACAGACCTGGACAGATAATGAGGGATACCACACAGAGATATTACATTTTATTATGTAAATAAATCATGCTACCTTATGCCCCCCAGTGCAACAACTACAATTCCCAACTCATGTCATTTCTTTGAATAAACAAGAAGCTCCTGCCCTATGTTTAATTGCTTTAAGGTCCCCTGCAGAGCTGACAGGAGGAAGTCCCAACCTCCAGCAAACAAGGAAAAAGGTTAGCTCTGGGGGAGGCGGGCCTGGTTATTGGCTTATCAGACTACTTCCTGTTTAAACATTACACTTCTCAGGAGGTGACGGAAGAACTATTGAGATGTTGATTATTCGCTGTTTGCTCGATGAATCTTATTATCTATAAGTGCTTCGCTCTTTCTTCCTCTTAATTTTCCAATCCCGAAAAAATGCTCATTGATTTGTATCTGTGTGGAGGCAGCGTCAAAAGAGACGCTTAATGACAGTAATAACTCAGAAAACAATGTCTTGTTCTCTCCATGTAGAAGAAGACACACTGGAGTTAGAGGGAGTCTGGAGGGCCTAGTTCATTTTTGAGGAATAAACATACTGTACCTGAACCAGTGAGCTTGAGGGTGTTTCTACACTGAACTCAGAAATATATTCCAACAAAAACAATATTATATGATAAAAGATATAGCCTTGATTCTAAGCTATTGAAACCTTTTCTTTTCCTGAAGTGTCATCATGACATTTTGTTTCTTTCATCTCGTCAATGCATTTGACAATCAGCGCTTTTTCTTAACTCTCTCTTTCCCTCCCCTGTGCCTGTTTTCAGTTGAACTAATAAAAGAAAAAAAAATCCAAAACTTAATCTGTAAATAAAGAATGACATGCGATGCCAATATAATTAAATATTTTGATATATGATGTAACCTGTACAGAAATTACTACTGCATTTATATAAATACTCAAATTTTTCTTTCTTTAGCTCACTGCTTATTATCATAAAATATAGGTGACTTTACAATATGATCGTTCTGCTGACACCAGTTTCCTACAAATAAACGATGTAATGCAATATGTTATAAACATATTTTAATATATAAATGTTCATGCTCACACCATGATAAACCCTTTTGATTTATACCATTATTATGACGTCACCCTTATTATATCTCCTTCACTACGACTACTAGATCAGAAAAACATTTTGCACCTAAACCTTTATTTATTCAACAGTTGGGTTTTCTTTAAAATGAGCATTAGTCTCACAGTGACATCACTCAACCCATTTATGTCCTATCTTTTTGACAGTCTAGCAGTCATAAAGTCACATTATCAATGTCCTTAATAAAACCTGGAATTACATTATATAAATAATACAGGGCTCTACACAAGCCTGTGTGCATTTATTAGTTGTGGGCTTGCAGAATAAACATTGTAAATCAAATCATGTCCTCCCAACATTAAGTAGTCAGGAAGCACTCACTCAACCTCTTTTTTATCATCATAACAACAGAAAATAAATATCAAAAAGATATGAAATTGGGAATGTAACCATCCAAACAAAAGCATCCTGTTGTGTTCATACACGTTTACAGCGAGGTGCCAGTCCCCTAGGATTAATTATGGGCTGGGATCAAGTGATTATGCTTTGTGAGTATATTTCTGTGGGTGTATTGGTACAGACAGAACACATTAATGAGCATTGCAGACTCAGCCGTGAAAATGTGGCTGACAGCAGAATGACTCATGACTGGCTGCTTCAACTGAAACGAAAAATGTAATACCTTTTCAATGCTTTTATGTCTTGAGACTCAAATCAAATAAGACGTATTTCTCCTTCTTCTAAACCGTCTTTGGAGAAAACTATGACTATTCAAAAGTTATACAGAAGAATATAAATATGGCAACTTACGCATTACATCTATATACATTTAGGGGAAGAATAGCAAATATCCTCCTCTGCCTAAAATCGTCTGAAATTTATTTGCCTCACATATCTGTATAGTCTCTGTGTGTCCAACCCACCCCTTTGTTATGGCCAAATGCAAGCAGCAGGCAGGGTGAGTCAGTGCCTGAGTAATGGATGAGGGGGACCAATGACATGAAGTTTAATCACTGTGGCTTAATAGAGCGAGGCACGTGGAGAGGCTAGACTCCAGAGGAGATGTGGAGAAATGTCTCTCTTCATCAAGAGAGAAGGAGAGCAAAGCTTAGGGAAGATGGACAAATGGTACGAGAGGGAGATGAAGAAGATGGATGGATTGAGGGGAAAGAAAAACAAGAGCATGTCTTACTATTTAGACAGAAAGACAAGCGGGAGAACTGATAAACAACCTGGGTATTATGACGGATGGAGGATAGAAGGGAAAGGAAAAAAAGATTGATGGTAAAATTGTAGCTACTGCTGTGTGAAAAACATGACATACCTAGTGTAGCTTCTATTCCTACCTTGGTGGTCCACAGAGGGTTTGGAGGCATTGAGGATCTTAGGAATGGAAAAGCCCATGTCTAGCTCTGTCAATGTCAGCTCGTTCATAACGTATGGCAGCTGAAACACAGTACAAAATGGTGTTTTGACTTAACCCTCAAGACAAAAAAGTCATGAGATAAAGTTACTCTTTTTTTTCTGACATGTTAGTAATACTGTAGTACCCACCCTGATCTTACTGAGCTTCATCTGGATCTTCTTGGAGACTACATCAGCCCAGTATTTCTCTCCCAGGAAGTCCCAGAACATCCGTCCCACAAAAGCATTGACCCAGGCCTCGGGCTCCGCAGGTTCCTCTGAACTCCTGCGTGTCTAAGGGACACACACAGGTATGTATTGTAGCTTCAATCTTCTCGACATAAAAATTAAGCTAAAAGAGTATGATAACAGTCTTTATAAAGCTTGGGTTCAATCCAATGTCCATACACTTTCATGGAAAAAGCTTCCCCTTTTGACCTCCCCCTCTACAAATTGACAATATGAAATCAAATAATGAAGATCTGACTGTTGGAGATTTCTTGTAAACAAACTGAAGATCTGTTTGATCACATATCTAAAGCGGATGACAAAATCACAAAGCGATTTGAATGGTCGCCAATTTCTGCCTCTTCCTGCTTCCTTAACCCAGCCTAATTAGTAGCCATATCTATGTCTCACGTTGTAAATATGAATTACACCTTTTGGCAATGGCATTGTTGTCCATGATCTAAGACTTGCCATGTTTGTTGACAATTGATCAAAATGTATGCAGAATAGAGGCGTTATAATGAATTTAGATGCAGATCCGCTGTCCGTGTACTTTTATTCTTCTTCCTTGTCCCCTGCATTGCAAAGTAATTTTTTATGACTTCCAACATCAATGTCAAAATAGCATCACAAATCAAAACTAGCCCACTAATCAAACATTGCTCAGCAGTGCTACTAGTTGTCAAAAATCTACAGTGAACCCTCCAAGTAAAAATGCAGACAAAAAGACTGACATAGTTGATGTTATTTCACTAACAAATGGCCATGGGGTCCCAAAGGACTGGAGATCTGGATCACTTTGCCTGGTAAGTTGTCTATCTCTTTTCAGCCTTTCATTTCTGTCACATACCTTTTTAGTAGTTTTGGGGCTGCTCTCGGGGCTGGGCCCAGGGCTCTCAGTGGCAGTTGGGCTTGTCTGTGGCGCCTGGGGGTTGACATATTTGGCCATGAAGACATTATAGTCCAACAGCATCTTCTGCTTCATCCCTGCAGTAGAGCCACAGGTGAGAGCAGAGGAGGGGTCTCTGTGGCGGAGCTGCGACAGCTCCTCCAGGCTCCCCCGGCTGCTGCTCCTGCTGTCAGCCTCCAGGCCTCCACCCAATTGGGGGCTGCTACTGCGGCTGTGGGTGGACAAGAAGGCTAAAAGTGGAGGACAGAGGGTGCAGGATGTGAGTAAGGGGGGGGATACATTTGATCACCAACAACATTTTTCCTTGATTCAAATCAATGCATTGTATTTCACATACATAATGCATGCTCAAGGTCTGGGAGAGAGAGAGAGAGAGGATCTGTTTTTAATGTATTTCTCACAGCATACTGCAACACTCTGAATCAGCATGCTTTACACCGCATGACACACTGCATCCTCTCTGACTCATATTAGCAGTGAAATAGTCGTTTAAAACATAATTGCTATGAATATCCACAAACAGGCTTTAAATGATCTTTCTGGTAATCCTCTTCACCCTGCACTTCCTTTATCACTGGACCCACCCAGTGCTAGTGTTTCCCTTTAAATTGGGCCTTATCCTTGCAGGCTTATATCGCACAGTGGAGACCAATACTATAATATGTTGCTTCTCTGTGCATGTAATCCTGCTGACCCATTCACACTCATCTGTTCACTCAGTTGAGGGGATTGGCAGTCCCTAAGCCGGGGCTTATGCACAGATCTGATGGCTGTGCAGTTAAATACTCAAGAGAATAACTATTGTGAATTCGGGGAAGTGATGTGTGTCTGTGCAAATACAGTATGTGTGTGGAAAGGATAACACCGACAGATAAACAGAATGTAAATGGCTATTTTGCATCTTGGTGTGTGACACTGTACATCTCACTCACCACTCTTGCAGATGCCAGGCAGACTGACACCTTTCCCCTCTGCCTTTATTCGGGACGCTAGAAGAAATCTCCGGAACCACTCTTCTTTTTCCCGACCCGTCCTCCCAAACAAGTAGATTGTCAGTTCCCCGCCTGCAGAAGTTGTTTTTTTGGGTTCCTCTGTTGAGCTTGATCCCGATACCAACTCTGACTCACTTCGTTCGAGCTTCTCACCCAGCGTTGCTAGTTTCTCCTCCCCAGCATCAGACTTCTCTACCTGGGTCTTGGACATGAAGTCCTCCTGCTTAGCCAACTCAATGCAAATGGGATACTTCTTGTTCCAAACTCTCTTCCTAGCCAAGCTTTGGGGCACCAAGTTGATCTATTGGGGGCACATAGACAGAGTTTATATTTGATCAAATGCAGGAAGATGAGGATGGAGTGTGTTGTTGTTGTTTTATGGGCAAAGAATACCACCATTATAATGAGGACAACAAATATGTGATTCAAACAGTTATTCTGACTGTAGTAAAGCATGGACTTGCCAAAATGTAAGGTGTGAGTGGTAGCGACTGGGGACATGAAATCAATGCAGGCGGGAATAGAAGTGCACATTTCTCATCCCTTATGTAGTTATTTGTATTTAACCCAATGTTAATTTTCTCTTTGACCAGCAATAAAGGAACATGACCTTTATTTTGTCAATGATTAAATAAGCTAGTTCAGTGGCTGGCATTTGGAATTATTTAGAGTTACAGTATGTTTTAATGGACATAATGAAACCCTATAACAAAACATGTTCTACAAATGTTATATGAGAAAGACACAATAATCACAGTCAATAAGGGGAGCTACAAGGACCCCTGTGCTGCAATGCTAAGAGATGTCTTTGAACTGTCCTGCCTTTGGATACACAACACATTGAGTCAGCACATTACTACACAAGAGGTAAACTTGTGTGTACAGGGTTAGTGACCTGTGATATTCCCTTCCTGTTTACACACACTATGTGACACTGAAAATGAGTAGATGTGTCACTGAACTTGACCTATTAGCGAGCATGCACTCAGGCAAAGGCAAATATGAAGGGACATGTGCTTCATGTCACTGTGTGTAAAGGTTATCATCAAAGTTACAAATAAACTGAGGAGCCAGCAGAGAAAAACAAACACACACACACACACACACACACACACACACACACACACACACACACACACACACACACACACACACACACACAAACTTACAGTTACACGTATATAATTCATTTCCTTCCCTCACACATACACTACAGTTCTGAAATGTCAGCATGTCTCTATTTAATTTCCCACATACACCCACCTTGCTGTCCGTCAGGTCATAGATCTTCTGGCTGATGTAAGTGATGTCAGGTTTAGGCTCGTTGTGTGTGGCACGGCGGGAAATGTTCCGGTTGGGTTTGGAGAGACGCAGCACAGAGCCCTCTAGACGGACGTAAACAGAGTGGGTCAAAGTGGCGTGGTACATCTCCGGGTCGTAGCAGTGGATCTCATTCATCCAGCCCTGAGAGATTGGGAGTGGGGGTCAAGAGGGAAAACGTTTTAGTTGACACAGACTCTATATCTATCATTACAGCAAATATACACACATCAGACTCAAATTAAAACACCAAGATTTCCGGGGTATACATTTACTCACTATTTCTGTATAGGTGAGTTGATATTGGTGTTTACACTGCACAAATATTTATTGTTTTTGCTATTGTTTTTTCTACAGCTGGCATGCTAACCCATGGACTGAAATATTATGTGTGAACATTCTTCCGTCAGATGTTTATTGTGCTTAAGTTGTTTGAGTCATCTTATAACAATCTCATTATGATGAAGTTTATTGAGGAGGATATTTCGAAAAAAAAGAAAGCGAAAGGCAGGCAAGTATTTGAGTGAAAGAAAACTGAACTGTTGGGCGTTCAACATGTTTTGCACTTCCCACCAGTGGATTTATCTTAATATAATATACTGGTCGTTCTAGGCTGATATTGAATAGGGGAGAGTTAAAAAAGATGGCATACAATTGTAATAGTTTTTTTACATAAACGGACAACACTAACACATTTGAATTGGAGGATGAATATGGTTTGTAAAGATAAGTCTTTTTTGTTTTGTAATAGTGACTGATAATGTTCTGGCATCCTCAGCCAGTCTTGTTACTTACGAGCCAAGATTGAAAGCTGATAACAAATATATCTGTAATAACCTAATGTCACAATCTTTAGTGGGGTTCTATTGTTAAAATAAAGCGTAGGGATACAACACTTTTGACTGCAAACTGTTGTCATCAATAAACAACTCTCCCTGCAGTATTTAAAAAGAAAAATATATGAAATCACCTTCCGGTATATTTAAAAACTAAATTGTCACTCAGAGGTGGTACCACATAGTTCATAACACACAACAAAAGGTAAAGTGGGTCATCTGAAACACTGAGTCTGAGTTGATCCTGGGGGGGAGAGAAGGATGAAGAATCAGTGTGTGTCCCCGGCTGCTGCCCTGCACTTGTGTGCTCTTTGGTCTATCGTTGAAATGTGTGTATCATGGTGTGCACAACTGCTGAGCTCCTCTTTTTGGAACAGCTGTGCCCGCTAGCTATCAGGCTCTCCTGTGCAACAGCTTGATACCACTGAAGGCACAAACACAAGCTTACATAATCCCTCAAAATACTAAACATTTCTCTTCAGCACTAACTGAGGGTAACAGAGGACAGAGTGAAAATATTGTAGACGTTTTCAAAAGGGTAATTAAAGCCCAATATGTGGCTGCTGGTCCCCCCTGAGGCTGGATAGAGTTTAATTCTCATCCAACTCCCACCTTATCAGTCCCTAAGGAGGCTCTGAGAGCAAAGCCAATTCAATAGAAACATCAGGGGATAATTCAGTGCCTGGCTAGTGGGAAAGTGAAAAACATGTAGTAAAAATGTACAAAACAAAAGCACTTACTACAGTTAAGCTTATGCTTGTCATCAAAACAAACACATATATATTGGATTCAGCTCACTGTTTGCTGTTCTCACTTTGGATGTTTTTTGTCATACAGATGCAAGCAACTGCAATTGTAAAACCTTTAATGCTAAATCTAATATAAGTCTACTCTTGCCAAAACTACATTTTCAAACAGGGACCCTTATCCTATCCCACTCCAAGTCTTCTAGTTTTACATAAACTGGTTTCCTCCTTAAAAGCTGCCATCCATGGAGGACCTTTACTCCCAGCGGCTCAGGAAGAAATCCTTCAGGATTATAAAAGAACCCCATCACCCCAGCCACAAACTGTTCAGTCTGCTGCCGTCTGGCAGGCGTTACCGCAGCATCCGGACTAAAACCACCAGATTCAGAGACAGCTTCATCCCACAGGCAATAAGACTGTTAAACACCTGAACTGCTGAAACAATGTCATAACATTCATCTGCTACTTAGTAATTATTTATCTATTATCTAATATATCATTCCAATAGCTTGTATATAGACTCTTATTTCACTATTCCACTTTTTTTCTCACTTTTTAAAAAACTATTTTTCTTTTTGTATTACTTTTAATATACTGTATTTTAATATTGTTTTAATATTGTCTGCTTATCTGTATTATTGTGTTGCATTGTTGGAGAAGCCTGTGACCCAAGATTTTCAACGACATAATTACTCTGTAGCTATGTGAGTTTGACAATAAAGAACCTTGAACCTTGAAAACCGAACCAAATACGGCAGGTTGCATTTGCTAGTCTGCCTAGCTCCTCGACATGAACATGTTCTTCTCCTCTCTTTATCCTAGTTTGTCTTTTTGAGCTTCTGATCACGACTTCCCCCAAGGATATGAAAGAGCCAACAAGTTACAAGCCACGAGGGTCTGGGTACAGGCCCTCCCGGAGAAATACTTTGGGCATAAAAGCCCTAATTCGGTGGCACATTCTAATGCCACTAGTTATTCCATATTTGAATGAATTTGCCTACCCGATTGTTCAAATGTAGTGTATTAATGTAAAGGAAAATTAGGCATCTTGTGCATTATAGCCTATGCAGTCTAATAGCTATTAATAACATAACACAGACACATAAACACACTCTGATTCAATGGAAAAAGGTTGATTTAATGGGGATCAAGTCTTTATTCTTATCTAGCCTAATGGTCGCAAATCAAATCATTCATAAAGGAACCCCAAAAAGAACTTTGAATCAACTCAACTTCTAGTCATCTTTAATCTCCACTATCAGACTTCATTATGGTGTTGGCTATGTTCAGTTGTTTTTGCAAGTTTGCATTAAAGCTTTGACTACCTGCAAATCATCTCAAAGCATGCATCTTACGCAAATGATAATGTTGCAACACTATCAGAGTAAGACCTTAATGCTAGTGTAAGAAGCAGTGAAGCAAGGACACCGTTTTTTGACAACAGATCCAAACAAGTTTACATTTGAAAGTCATTCAGCAACATGCAATGTTTTTACTCACCTTGAAGGTTCCTGGCTCTTTGATATCCAGCTGGGCAACATTCCAATGATCCATCCTTCCCCTTCCTTTCCTCGTCCCCGATGACGAGCCTCGAGGAGAGGACAGCCAGAGGACCAGCAAGGCCAACATGAACCCAGCTACTATCCCATGCACCACCGAACATACATATGGAGGCACTGGAAGGATTATATAGCAGTACACCAACTGTGTAAGGAAGATGAGGCAAGTCACTGGCAAAGTCTCCAACTCCTCCTTCTCTTTCTCCTCCTCCTCTGTGTCAAGTTCACTACACAGCCCAGTGCTACCAGTGTGGGGCTGCTGGGAGCCTGGGCGATCCCCTTCTGGCGTTTCTGTGTCGGTACACAACTCAAAGTCTTCACTGTACAGTTCGCAGAAGTCCTCGTCTTCCTGTCGGGCTACCAGTGCCGACATGGAGCAGCGGCCCAGAGTGAGAGAGGGAGACCTGGCGAAAGTGGAGGAGGAGGAGGCCTGGGCGGGGGCAGGGGCCAGCGATGGGAAGGAGAACAAAACAGAATCTGGACCCTTGCCTGTTTCTTCCTCTTCTGCCCCTTCCTCCTCCTTGATGCTATAGTTGTTGTTCCCTTCCGTGTGTCCATTCACCGTGGTCGCTCCGCTGAGCTCTGACGCGCTGGAGGACAGCGATTTGGCACGATGAGCGGCACTTCCTGCAGCTCCTCCACCAGACTCATCCCCCATGATCTTACTGAAGAGCTGCAGGGGGTCGGACATCACCTCTGAAAGCCGTCGCTTGGTATCCTCGATCCTGGCCTCCACCTCTTGGACCTTGAAGAAAGATCTTCCATCTGGGGACATTATGGGGGAAGAAGGAGCAGTTTTGGAGTCTCCACCAGCTTTAGTGACAACGACGGGGCTGGAGCATAAGCGAGGCTGGGAGAACTGTTTGAAGAGCTGCATGTTGCGAGGTGGAGGCCGCTGGGATGGCTGCACTTGAAGAGGCCCTTCCTGATGTTCGGCCTTTGAAGTGTCCGTGGAAAGAGACTTGACAAAAGATTTCATTAAGTGACGGTGCCTGGCGTGCGATGGTGTAGTTGGAGGTGGAGGAGTAGTCTCGCGAGACTCAACGTCGTTGGACAAGGACCTGACCAGGCTGAGGAAAGGCTTGGAGGAGGACATCGCTGCAGACTTGGAAGGGGAGGAGGAGCCCGAGGATGGGAGGTTGGCGGAGGGTCGTTCAGAGGGCCAGGATGAGCTGGCAGGGGGGGTGGAGCTCAGGTGGGGGTGTGTGGCGGTTGGGGTAATAGTCATAGCTGGAGAAGGTGTGTGTGGGGGAAGCTCTGCAGGCTCTGCAGACAGGGTGGTGGAGGAAACAGGAAGTAGAGCAGCTCCAGAGGAAGTCTCCATTCCAGCAGATTCAAACAGAAGCTCCTCACTTGCCTCCAAGCCCTTGAGGACAGGCGGAACATCAGCCCCTTCAACATCAAGCTCAGATTTAGATTCAAGAGGTACGCCATAGAGCTCCTCTTCCTCGTCGTCTTCCTCCTTCCCCAGAGCAGAGAAGTGGATGGTGATGGTGTCACGAGAGAGGGAGCGCTGCACCTGCAGCTTGGGTCCAGGGGCGTGGCGAGGTGGAGGGGTGTCAGCATGCTGGCCATTTCCCCAGCTGCTGCTGCCCTGACTGCTCATCACCAGCCTGCACAGGGCTCACAGCCTGAGAGAGACACACAGAAGCATTGTTAGCAACCATAGAAACACTAAAACATTGGTATATAACATCAGTGCAGTAATCTAAAATTAGATTAACATATGCTCTACACACTCTCCATCCACACACAGTACACAGTAGAATAGCCCAGCAGCTCTCTATTCATCCTAATGTGAGTAGACTGGACAGGTATGTCTATGCCCCCCCGTCCATTAGCCCTCATTATGCAAGGCTTTAGCTGACAGACTGAGTCGCTCTCAGGCCTGGTCTCTCTCTGTCTTACCAGCATCACTCAGCCCTGCTATGGCAACATGATTAATGGGTTACTTCAGAACACATGAGCCCCGAGGAGAGGGGCCATCAGCATTTCAGCTTTATTTAACTCCACCCCCCACAGGGCTGCAGCTGACTGTTGTGAGGTGGTAAGGATCATGCAGGAGAAAACAAAAGGAAGGATGCTACTCTGACTCGTGGAGGGAAAATCATCACTATTGGATGGAAATGACGATCTGAAAACATTCTGATAACTTAAATTGGGTTGGCTACTTGTGCAGGACTATTTTTCTGACATTTAGTTTGTACAGGGTAATGTTAGCATTCATTTTGAGTCATGTTTCTGGCCACCCGGTGAATTCAAGTCCATTGTTGACTTTCCTTTCACCTCTGTTTGGGTCTCCTCACCACTTTCTCTGCCATTAGGTGCAGTAAAGCAAGCTGTTTGTGTGCTGTTGGTTTAACAGAGCTTTCTCATTGAGTGCTGCTGCTGGAAATGGTGATAATGAGTAGTGAGACAAACCATATCAGTATAATTATGGGCTGTAAAACCAACACAGTGAGCTGAAAGATAATAATGTAACTGAGATGAACAGCAGAGTCAGATAGATGATTGTTGCTACTGGAAACATCATTCACATTACACACAACAAATATTTAGGTAAAGACTGTAAGTGTTTTTAAATTATGAACCTCAAAATGCACAAAATCCTTAAATGTGAGTATTCCTTTTAGCTGTTTGTATTCATAAATCACATATTGTATGGGCACTGCCCGTATCAGTACTGCGTTCGTCATTTAGGCTGAAATTGATTGTTTAATAGGCAATAACTGTCATGTTTTGCATTTTCTATGCTTTACGGTATCGTAAAAAACATAAACATATACATAGATATAAGTACCCCCCCCCCCACGCACAACAATATGTAGGACATAATCACACAACAAAGCAGCAGTTAGGCTCCAGTGGTCACAGGAACAAGGCGTCTATTGTATAGTCTCAACGCAGCGGAACCAGAGTCATTCATCGTGCAGTGATTTCACTGAATGAGGCCTCAAGTTGTTATTGAGTTATTGTGCCTGTTTATTCTTCCACATCGCATACCGTCCATCATCCCTGGTTAGCCAAATCAAACAGGCGGGGCAAAACAAGCACACACACAAACACACACAAACACACACACACATATATATATATATATATATATATATATATATATAGAGAGAGAGAGTCGTTCTGCTGTTGATAGAAATGAGGAGGGACAGAGGAGAACAACAGAGCGGTAAGCTTGTATGATAATCAGAATTTCTGAGAAAGCCCCGGCGCCCCTTGGGGCTTTCTGGTTGGCGCCGTATCTCCAGAGATTGTATTTGCTGGGATGGAATAACAGAGCATTTGACTTTCCCTGCCAGCCTCGCACTTGGCTGTGCTACAGTGGGGTGTTGTGTGTTCCTTCTGCCATGGCCGTGCTAGGGACAGAGCAAAACTGAATAAGAACAAGGAACGAGAAAGACATAAAAGAGAGCAACAAAAAGAAGAAAGATGAAGAGCCACAGGGGCGGGGGACTGTAGAGTCTGCATACGACCTTTCAGAGACAAGCTTTTGAAGTGGGATTCTCTTAAAAATGGCAGCGATGGAGGGAGAAAATGCAGAGGATGACACAGACAGGAGAGGAGACAGGAGTCAAATACGAAGAGGGGAGACGGAGACATGGAGATGGAAGTGGTTGTTGTCGTCACAAACACCTGAAGGACAGATTAAAAAGTTTTGGAGGTCGTCAGGGTGAGCATGGAAGGATGGTCACCATGCAAAACCGTATCACTGGTGGATACATCAGTACTTTCCATGTACAATGTATATGAAATGTACACATTTTACACAGTAAGTATGGGTTGGAATTTTTTCCTAACCTTACAGTGTTTTTATAGACTTGAGAAAGTAATCGGCACATTAATTGATATTGATGATTAAAATAGCTGTTTGTTGAAGTCCCACGGTGAATATTAAAATATTCTATGCTAACATGGGGCTTGTATCTACTAACATATATCACATTTAGTAGATATACCTTTATGTTATTCCCTTGTACATTTCAAAACAGATGCATTTGTACTTTGATTTAAAATAACATACTGCTTGTATTTTGGTTCTTACACAGCCAAAAGAAAGCTGGCTATATGAGTAGGTAAAAAACGTTTGAAACATGTCTATTGCTTTTCAGGTTGAGTAAACTGTTTGCTGACACACCCACGGTTTGAGTTAGTTCCTCTCATCAATGCACCACTGCCATTAAAAGCCCCGTGTTTGTTTTATCCGCTCCTGGATGAGGATGAGGAGACAAGAGGAGTCTGGCACGAAGACTCATCCAATTAATCAAAGCAAGCAGGGCTACTCTAATCAGCTAAAGCCAGCACCCCGGGAGACGAGAGGGGGGAGCTAAAAGCAGCAGGGTGTAAGAATAATATAAGGGGGTGAAAGGTAGACAGTGGAAATGGAAAGGGAAATGACCACACAGGATAAATCAGAGAAACACAGAAACTCCAGTGACCATTCCCTAATTCACAATCTGTAATCCCTTCCCGACCAACAATCCTGCTTCACAAACAAGAAAAACAGACATGAGAATGAGTGGTGAAGAGAGAGAGGTACAGAGCGGCTGCTTGGAGAGAGATGGAGATTTATTTATGAACAGTTTGCCTTCAGCATATTGAGTCTCTCAGCTGAATGAACCACAGAAAATCAGGAATTTACCAAAACCCTTAATTGATTTAACACTAACTGTGTGCCTCAAAAAGCATTCTCTACAGTGTTGTTTAGTTTCTAGTTGTGTAATTCAATCTAAATCCTGATTTATTGGGTTTAGCAGATGCTGCAGCAGATTCAATATGCGTCTACTTTCAGTCTTTTTTTCTCTTTTGACTGAGCCTCAGCGGGTCTCCCTCTCCTCTCTCTGCATTTGATGAATGGGTAGATATTTCTGGACTCTCACACACCCTGACAGATCTCAGGCCCTGAGGAGGCATGTTGAGCAGCCTCTTTTTAAAAAGGTAAAAAAAAAATGCCAGGCCTATTTCTAGGCTAGGAACAGTTCCCAGGCAACCAGCAGGAAATGACTTGCCAATGAAAGGTCTTGCATATATAACCCCCTATGAACTAGTGAATTTCCAATGTTATACTATTGTTTAAATAGTATAGGTATTTTTATACTACTTGAATAGTATAAGTGCCTCAGAGAACTTTAGTTGCACTACACCAATAGAAATCCGATCACCAGTAGGTCATGCTTAAACCTGCGAAATAATTTATGCCTATTGATTATGAATACATTGTAACATTGGTATGCAAGACGTTGCTGCCTTTGTTGATAAACACAGGTTGACCTCACCGAATCGATAAAGATGGAAGCTTGTCTTTAAATAGGATTAAACCTACCAAGATGCTGCCAGCGGAGGACAGTAGAAAACAGCACAGATGCCATGATAGAGGAAGGTGAAAGGTGTGTGAAGAACAATCCATTGGTGAAATGAATGAACAGTATCAAAGTAAAAGGTCTGAAAATAAGTTAAAATGTATAGGCAAAGAGCCCTCCAGTGATTAAGCATTGAATCTAATTAACATAGCATGATGCAAGAAGCAATATAATGTTGTATAGCCATTATTCCTTGTCAAAACCCTGTGTCTTCTTCATTACCCATGATACAACTTAACCACCAACAGGTTGGTCTAAAATGTTGTGTTTGTTATGGCAGTATAGCGCTATTAGGTCTTCTGGTGAAATCATTTATTTCTACCTCCACAAGCCACATTTGTACCACTTAGCCTTGACCATCAGTGACTAAAGAGACACCAGTTTAGGCAATTTACTTCACTCTGCTCCCAATTGAGCCATAAAGGGCTTTATAAAACGTGTTATTAACAGAAGCACTCCCCAACACCTGTACACATATATTGTTGTGTAAAATCTTTGAAGTTCCCCATTTAATGTTCAGTCCTTTAGCAGAAACCGGCCACAATCTACTGTATCTTTACATGTGGGAGTCATTTTATGTCAAGGATCAATACTAAGGACTCAACAGTTACTCAACAGGTGCTGAGATATTTTGACTTTAAAAACAACATATTTGAAGCCTCTGATTTGAAATGATAAGTTCACAGCTTTGAAATGATGTGTACGACATGATAATATATCATGATATTTTTTGTCTGTGTTTCTGTTGATGTGTGCTTGCTGTATTTGTTCAATTGAGGAGTCTTATCTTTGCTAAAACCATTCTACTGAATCTTCCTCTTTAGGTAACAGAGTGTTGATGTGATTGGATGAGTCAGCAGGTGTAGAGGACAGACTAACATGACCTCTGCTGAAGGATGTTAAGTCGGCACGCCAAGTTTCCACAGAAGGAAGATCAAGTAGAAAAGTAAAACCAGGAAAACAAAATCAAGGCGGGCGTCCAGAACATACTGAGCCGATGACTGGGTGAAAAATGGGGCAGGAGGAAAATGGAGAGCAAGTCAAGTAAGGAGCAAGTCGGCGAGGCAATAAAAGGGGTGGGTGACAGCTGGAAGATAGATCGGGTGAGACAGAGGGATTGAAGATGAACACAGGATGCAGAGAGAGAAAGGGAGAGTGGCTGATGGAGCAGTCGATTGTCACTAACAGCCCAGAGACAGACACACACACACACACACACACACACACACACACACACACACACACACACACACACACACACA